TTATTTATATATATATAGTATAATTGCCCTTAACATGATTATGATTATTTCGTCATCCTCCGCATTCCTACATGTTTAGTTTCAGGTGATTCGTTGACTCTGCTCGTTGAAATTTCATTGAACTTCTGCGATATTGATTGATACATAGGATTCGATAGATAATTTCTCTGTCGGTGATTAGGTTTTCCGACGTGGTGCAGAGAGGTATATGGACGGGGTAACTTCCATGTAGGGATGCCAGAGCTCCTAGTTCAGCAGAGCCGTTACCTTTTTCGTAAAAGAAACGAGAAATAGAATTAGTGCATGCGTGCATGCGTGAGTGAGTGAGTGAGTGAGTGAGTGAGTGAGTGAGTGAGTGAGTGAGTGAGTGAGTGAGTGAGTGAGTGAGTGAGTGAGTGAGTGAGTGAGTGAGTGAGTGAGTGAGTGCGTGAGTGCGTGCGTGCGTATGCGCGCGAGCGAGTGAGTATATATCGCTAATGTTGTCGGTCATTACATATTCATTCAATATGCCACAGAAATGGGTACGAATATCGATTGATATATCTGTAATGGCGCGGAGAGGTGCAAGGGAGGGAAACACACGGGGCATCCATCACTCAGGCAGTCACGCATGAAGAGTACAATCAGTGTTTGTCCACTTCCAACCTAGTTGGACTGGCAGTCATTTAACTGGTGTTACGCCTAGGGATCACGATCTAGCGGAACACGCATCTGAAGAATCGGTCTAGTTAATTGATGCACGGCGAGGCTAGAGGAAGGAAAATTTCTTCGAGACCATTATTACAGACGTCGTTACGCCTATTCATCTGTGAAACCCGAAACGTAATTGCGTATTAACTCATGTCATATTAGGCTGTAATATAAGTATTTGCTATTATTGTTACTGTAGACTATTATTCTACACAGTAATTTGCAGAAGGAGATCTACAAATTATCTGATCGGGGTTCAAGCTCGCATTCATTGAAAATTTCTCATCGGAAAATGTTTTCATTAGGAAAGTATACGAAAAATGAAAGAAGCTTTTAAAATTGCACGTTGTCTGGTATCGAAATCCCGTAAAATTAAATCTGGCAATTATGCAATACGGAAACTAAATCACCTCTAATCTGATCTGGAAACAACTTCCCTTCACACACTTACAATCACTAGCAAAAGATGGGATCTTACTTGCTGTGATTTTTGACGCTGGAAACGGAATTCACATGTCAAAGTTGTGACGACGTTTCCCACTGACATTCCAGGTGCACGTGATCTATTTTTAGCTATTAATTTAATAACCAAATAAATGAATAATTAAATATATATTCATAGTTTAATTCATCATATTTACAGGCTAGCACATGGGGCATCCTGGGAGTGTTTGACATTCATGGAGACCACTTGTTAAATGTGATAATTTGTTACATCAGTGATGCGTGTGCTTAGTATATGTATGATTGGAGTAATCATTCTGAATGAGAATGGTTACTCCAAGGTATATGTGTACACGATGTGTGGGCAGTGCGCTGATATGGCGCCCGTGTGATTTTCCCGTTATCTGCGGGAAGATATATCCGGAAGACGTGTTATAGCATCATGCGTTTACAAGCGGATGTGGGGAATTTAGTATCTTTGTAAATGGAAAATAAGTCATCGTTACTGGATATTATACGGATGCATGAGCATATGCGTGGGTGACGTTTGAATTTGGAGGAAATTCCCATTTTAACTATTATTATATGTGTCTGAGCTATTGGCTTTCTTATATTACTAGCATTCTGCTTCCTACTTGGAGCACTCTTACCTTCCTTCTCTTCGTTACACACACGGATATATATATATATCTAACATGAGTTGTGCAGCCAGTTATACTTCGTTATGATCTCTACCTGCGGCATATATAATCATCTACTTTCCTTCTCTCGTTTCTGTTCGTTGTTCATGTACTTGCACGGATTTCCCAGCATTTCTGGACCATCACGACTTACTATTCCTGCAGCGAGGTGAGAAATTCTTACTCCTGTGCACGATGCTGCATATGTGTGTTTGCACGGGGACCACTGCGTCGCTGTCGCGTCTATTTGTTTCCATCTATATGTACGCGCGGTGTCGTATTTGTTTCCATGATTGCTAGAGAAAAACTCTGTGTCAGTTACGTTCACGTACTCTCATCGTCACGTATATACGTGTTTCTGCACATTTTTCGTGGTTTGAAGGTCACGTGTTTGGTTGTTTTCACCCCTCTCTCACCCGGTATTCCGCGTTCAGCCTTCACCATTTTGTTCATTTTTTTATTAATACCTTTGATTATCTTTCTCAGAAAATGCAATTAGGTGATGTATTTATTTCTGCTTGCGCTTTTTTACTAACTAACCATTTTAGTGCTTTTAGTGTTGAATTTACATTAGACAAGATCGCAGCTACAGATACATCAAAAGCGAGTTCTCTTTACTGCTACCTTAAAGTGATAGTTTACCACCCGTAGGAAGTTTATAAGGAATATAAAATTGAAAAAAAATCAAATTGAAAAAAAATCAAATTATTATCCCTTTCCCGATACTCGCTTTCATTTTCTTGCGTTTCATGATTTCGTGAAGCTTTCTCGAGCTCAAGCTCTGAGGTTGCTGACGGCTAGAAGACAGTCGATGCCACGAGCATCCGCACGGAGAGCTTAACCTTTTCTCCCGTTTATTTGCCGCCTAGCCTCAAGAGTTTTGAACTGCGACCTCCGACAAGTGACGTCAGGACATTCATCCACAGCGACGTCGGCGTCGAAATTATCTACTAGTGTCTAGCCACGCTAACATTTCTCCTACCCCTGCTCTCCGCGCTCTCTCTGTCTCTCCATTTAAGGTGAGCTCTCAGGCGGTTGACTACGGCGATCAGTCAGCGGTCCCGTCCGCACTACTGTTCCTGTTTAACTATGCCAACCATCGTGCTTCTCTTGTTTGTTTGTTTGTTTGTTTTTGTTTTTACGTTGAATGATGACGTTAACATAAACATATATGTCTGTGAAAGTCGTCGCTGTTTTTCTTAAATTGTTTCAGTTTTATGGTGCTGGCTAATCGTAGATGTCGTCACGTATTGGTAGTTGTGTGTATAGTAATCGTTTGTTTTGTTTATTTGTTTATTTGTTTATTTGTTTGTTTGCGTAGATTCCCGGCGTCGATACTGTACCGGCGCGGCCACACACGTCCGCCATACAGTGTTAGCACCATGCATATATACGTATAGTACATGAGAATTATGCCTTACGCGTGAGTTACAGCGGCTGTAGCTTTTGGTTTTACGGATGCATTCCTTTTTCGATCCACGCATGCAACACACAGCCCAACTAACTACCGCGGTGTGGATGGACAAGACACATATCGAACATACGCACCCCCTCGCGTAGCGCGTAAGACGTCGAGGCTCGTAAATAGCTCAGGGGGAGCTTGGGGCGGAATGCGGGGTGGCGGTACACATGGCGGTACGGACCGCAGCCCGCTGCTTCTCGCCAGCCGGTGGACAGACGCGTGTCACTCAGTGAAAGCAAACACATCGTCATGCCAACGCGACACGCGTACACACGGACAGGCGAACGCACATGCACACGCACTGTCACTTACGCACGAACGCGCGCTCACTAGCCTGCACCTAGTCATTATATAGGGATAAATAATCGGCATGAATCGCTGAGAGGCGTAAATTCTTCGCGTTACCCAACACGTTTGCCAACACACGTCGCATATCCAGCGGTTTATACCCCCCCCCATAAATAAATAAATAAATATAAATATATATATATATAACCGCGCGTCAGGGATTGATGATATTTGATATCGCTCCAGCGACACGACCCTGACACACTGCAGCGCTCACACTCCCTCCCCCTCTCCCCTCGCCTCCTCTTCTCCTTCCCGTTCGGTCCCCGTACGCTTCATTTCGTGTTGGCAGTGAAACCCTATTTCTCGACTCTCACTATGTCTCATTCGCCGGAGCTACAATCAGCAGCGTAAAACCGCTGTTTGTTATGCATCACGCATATCGCTGTCTGTCCGAAAAACTAGGCAATAAATTCAATGGCCTCGCGTACGATTCTAGTCGCTGTTCCACGCGTATGCAAATAGAGCTTTCGGGCGATTAGCTAAGCTTTAGCGGAAGGAAATTCCGCGATCCCTGGAAGTTGTTGAGGACACAAACACCGTTCATAAGATGACTTCCTATAGCGACTCTGTCTAGTTGAACAAGAACGCCGTTCCTAGCGACCCTGTGTAGTTGAGCAAGAACGCCGTTCCTAGCGACGCGCCTGGGCTATGGCTTACGTCATGTATGATTTATGTTATGTAATATATATCGTCACCCACCTGTGGGTGGGTGCGCGTGTGTGTGCGTGTTATAAGCTGGTTAATAGGTCGCATACGAAATACCGCATCGTAGCTCTCACTACATGATGCAGTAACGCGCTTTCCGTGTGTCTGTGTGTACATTTCTCTAGTTGCACAACCTTCCTGTCAGCACCTAAAATGATTCATGTCACCATGTGTGCCTGGGTACAATAACTGATGACGCTGGACTTGGGGGGTTAGGGTGAGGCCTACGTTCTAATCGCACCCCGGGAGGCATGGATCCTTTCACCTCTATGATACACAGCTATTACACAGATCATTGCAGCACGATACGCGTATAGGACCGCCGTACCCACAGGCACTTGAAGCGTTTCAACTGTAAACACACGCCGCCGCCATTGCGCGCACACTGACACATAAAATATATATATACACTGACACAAAATATATTTATGTGTCAGTGTGCGCGCAATGGCGGCGGCGTGTGTTTACAGTTGAAACGCTTCAAGTGCCTGTGGCCGTACCACTGTGATGACACCGCTGGCTTCTGCAGCCTGGTCGCTCTGTGACACATCTACGCGATAGCGACGCCGCCTTCTTCTGTGTTTGTTCTTTTTTTCAGCTTCGTGGTTTATTTGATGGTCCGTGTAGCGCGCTGCTACCAAGCATTTATCTAACCAGCGAATTTTTGTCTTCTGTACGCCAACTGGATGCGAGTGTCTAGAATTGAAAACGCCCGCAAAATTTCGCACAACTCTTATGTTCACGTTAGAAATTCCATGCAGCTAACAACCTGGCATGTTGCGCCATCTACTGGTTAGACGGTTACCTGGTCTTTTCGCCGCTGAAAAAGGGCAGCCGGCTGAAAGGTGCGATAGGATATGTTTACTAGGCACTTCTAATTTTAACATATATTTTAAATTTAATTAGGGTCAGGGTTAGGGTTGGGGTTAGAGTTAGGGTTAGGGTTAGGGTTAGGGTTAGGGCACTTTTTAGGGTTTTTGCATCATTCTTTAATATATCGTAAAATATATGTTAAAATTAGAAGTGCCTAGTAAACATATCCTCTCGCACCTTTCAGCCGGCTGCTGAAAAAGGACGAGGATCATTTCTAAAAATCTATACATCGTAGCAGGGCTTACTCTGATTAGAGGAAATTGGGTCGAATAAGGTTAATGAGCTATTGAGCGATAAAAGCCAAGATGCCCCTCCTTGAATGTGTACACTCTGTCGTAAAAGTTTCATGGCGCAGTCTTCAAGTCAGTGTTTCAACAATAACGTACACAAATAGGGCATAACGAAAGATAACAATTTCTAGTAGTTTTTATTTTTTATTTCGCACTGTTGGTGTTATTAACGTTTGATAACAATTGTCAAACCTTTGTTGAACATTGTGTTAAACACTTGTTAAATATACTTAACAATTGTTAAACAATGTTAAACGTTTGGCTGAACAATTGTTAAACAATGTTAAACGTTTGGCTGAACAATTGTTAAACAATGTTAAACGTTTGGCTTAACAATTGTTAAACAATGTTAAACGTTTGGCTGAACAATTATTAAACAATGTTAAACGTTTGGTTTAACAATTGTTAATGTTGCCAACAATTGTCAATAGAGATTAGCTTGTGTGCCGATCGTGTCTTCGTTTGTAGAGCAGTAATAATATCATTATCATCACCTATAAATGCGGTCATGTCACTATGTATATGTTTACATCTAGCGCTTTTACGTTGTTAATAATGAAACCACAGGCATATGTGAATCGTGTGCGTTTCGCTTTGTATCATCAACGGGGTTAATGTCGAATAGTGCGGATTTCGACATTTTTGACTTCGTAGATTGAATGATTTCGTTTAGTGTGTGACAGTTACTAAGTCTACTTGAACGACAGACCAGCGCTCTCAGGCGGTGAAGTGTTACCAGCATTAACAGATGACCATAACGAACGCCCTGATGGTAGTAGTAGTAGTGCGGCCCGCTAACGTGAGAACCATTGCTCGCGCTAGGTTTCTTCCCACGGGCACAGTTGTTTCCGTCGTCTGGCTTCCTGCCAACGACCAATCAGAGGCTCGTTCGTCACGCCACCACGCGGCCCATCAGCACATCACAGCAGCAGCTGGTTGTCGTGCTTGCACAGTTGCCACCAACGCCACCTAACGAGAAAAGAAGCGGTAAACGCATGCAGCTCGGTGTTTCGGAATGCAGTAATTATGTGTGCATGCTGTTCAAGTGAGGCAAAAGATTGACAGGTTACTGATTTCACGCAATAATGGGTGCAATCGACGCGAATTTAGTTGACTTCGCACTCAACAGTCCCCGCTGTTGTGCGATCGATTGCGCATGTCTGGTCTTGCGAGTGTAGCAACGAAACAAGCAACATATTGCATGGTATTTTCCGATTCCAGCGATGCCATGAGCATGCTAGAATGTTTCTTCAGCCTCGGTTATTTATTAACTATGATATTTATGATATATGATCGGTTGCCACTGACATAAGTGTTTTGTTTTTGAGAAACAGCAAGTGTGCTATAATAAGTGTTTTACTATTATCTTTACTATTATCTTTAATATTAATTTACGTTCCGTGTATTGTTTCTCGCATGCACGCACGTTCGGTGAGTAGGACTGTAATGGTATATATAACTTATACAATTCCTCCGGTTTATATAAATAACTGTGTCGCACGTTTAGAGAGTGTGGAACCGTGGCACGTTAAGTACTGCACGTGACTTTTTAGATATACCGGCGTGTTTATCAGCTACTGTATTCTCTCCAGCGCATTTCTATATAGGCTGTTATATATATATGCGTGTGTGTGTGTGTGTGTGTGTGTGTGTGTGTGTGTGTGCGTGTGCGTGCGCGTGTGCGTGTGCGTGTGCGTGTGTGTGTGTGTGTGTGTGTGCGTGTGTGTGCCTTCTCTCTCTCTACTTCCATTAAAATCTCACGGCCGATTATTTCTCATTTATCTTCGATAGAATCGGGAAACTTCGGCTCCTCGATCAAGAGATTCCGCCGCTTCATAGGTGGCAGCCACGCTCACGAGACGACGAACTGGCGCACGCGCACCTTTCCCGCACACCGCGGCTCGTCGCCCGAAAAGACGTTGCCACGCACCGACGCGCCCCGCCGCAGCACGATGCCGGATATCCGGTTCGACCTGCCGCAAGATGGCCTCGCACGGCCGAGAAAAAATTCGCCAGTGTCGATGAGCGGGAAGAGGAGAGGTTCGGGGGAGAACCAGGCAGAGAGCGGCAACAAGGACCCGCTCGCGCCGATGTTGAGCAAGATATCGGAGCGTACGGAACCCCGCAGCGAGCCGCTGACGCCAACGTCGCCAGGTGTCGTCGCGGTGGCGCCCGATGCGCGTCGCTGTGTCTTTGTTACCGGTGGCAACGTGTCGCCGCTCGACGCGCTCGTGCTGAACGCTCTCATCGTGCCCGTCGTCAAGGTCATATCGAAGTCGTCGGAACAAATCCCGGACGCGGTGACCGCCGGCGGTCGTCATGGCAACGCGGACGCGGCGCTTGCGCCGCTGCGCCGAGCAAGATCGTGCGATTCTCTGCTCGAGGAGAGAGGCGGCAGGGGCGGGGGCGGAGGCGGGTGGAGAACGATTCCCGGACTGCGGGGTAGCTTCGAGAGGATACTGACGTGCGAGAGACGCAAGGATGCTGCTGACGGCAGCGGTGGCGCCCCCTGCCCAGCCGCACCAACGCCCATGCTAGTCGGCGTGAAGCCTCGCTCGTTGCGATGGCAACCGTCCGTCGAGCATATTCACCCCCATCGCGTCGTGCCAAAGAAGAGAAGCACAGAGTGGCCGCCAGGTGGCGCCGAGGCCAATGACGTGCGCGCCACCGGAGCAAAGCGAGGTTATTTATCGAAACTGCTCGATAGAGGGCGCTCTCCTACGACGTCGGCCGACGTGCCGGTGGTATGAACGGAGGAGTCTGTTGCCTAGCGACAAGTGTTTGCAGTCAGTCGACACTCGTGTAAATATAAACACGTGATGCGATGGTGGGCTAGGTGGGTTACGGGTAACTTTAGCAGTATTTACCTAACTCTGACGAAAAGAGTCTTAGAAACGATTTCTCGTTGTTTATATATCAGTTGACTTTTCTTCTGTGTGCAGAGATCTGGAGTTAGTTGCAGCAGGGAATCGTGTGTGTTTCTGCGAGCAAAGTTTCGTGTGTGTGTGAGTGAGGCAGTGTAAGGTAAATAACATTGCCGCTGCTGCCCACATGGGCCGTACTTTTTTTTAGGTTGCGATAACGTTATATATAAAGCGATATAAACATGTAAGATTGTAGCTATTAGACGTATAAATATTATGTAAAACTGTTCCAGCGATTTGCCGATCGGTTTAGATTAAATTATGTATGAATTAAATTTAATAAAAAATAAATCGTTACCAGCACACGAGCGATCTTGTGCATCACTCGCTACGACAAAGCTTGCTGCAGGTTGTTCTTAATTCACCACGTTTCATTGGCACATAAACATATAATATGAACAAAGATAAAAAAAGCCAAGCATAGCATTAGCATGAAATTGCCTCACGCGATGGGAGCAAATTAAAAGCTGCATGACGGTTACTCTTCTCTGGATTTCTGATCCTTATTATACACCGGTTTGACTGTATATGTATACGTATGCATATGTATAGGACAAGTTTCTGCGTTAGAGACGCTGGTAATTCGATTAAAATGTTTTCAATTGAGCCAGTAAGGGAGTAACAACAACTCTGTAAGCAATTCGTTCGCGCCTATGTCGCCACGTTGTTCCACACAAAGGAAATCTACAAAACAATACTGATATCCCCCACAGGCAGACGGCACTTTCACTTTCCATTTGAAAATATGTTTATTATTAGCATCGTATATCATATCTAGTATTATCATACAGTGTCTACATCACGCTTGTCTGTACGCGCACGCGCATCTACGAGATATACCAAAAAACAAACAACAACAACAACAACAACAAAAACCAGCAGAAGGCTGCAGACCGGAGCTTACGAATGGCACAAGAGCAGCACGGGGTTGTCAACGCACGTCCACAACAGGGGACGCTGCTGACCGAGTGACGTATGCAGAACATGATTAAGACGCGCAGACGCTGTGTGCGCTGATGACGAAACACTGGCAAGGTTTGTTGATTATAGGTGCGCTGTTCTCTAGCGCGTGGAGATAGAGGAGGAAGGGAGGAAGAGAGAGACCAGAGGAGAGAAGATGAGGAGAGAGGAGAGGAGAGGAGATGAGAGACAGAGAAGAGATGGAGAGAGAGAGAGAGATTGAGAAGAGAGAGAATGAGAAGAGATAGAGAGAGATGGACAACACAAAACACACTACACAGAGACGAGTAGAGGAGGAGAGAGAGGAGAGAGAGGGAGAGAGAGAGAGAGGGAGAGAGAAGAGAGAGAGAGAGATGAGGAGAGAGTAGAGGAGAGACGTGAGACGAGGAGATGAGAGAGAGAGACACAACACACACAGGGAAGAGACAGAGAGAGACAGAGAGGGAGAGTGAGAGAAAGGAGAAAGAGAGAGAAGAGAGAGAGAGAGAGAGAGAGAGGGAGAGAGAGAGAGAGAGAGAGAGAAGGTGGGTGGGCATTATACTAACTCAAGTGAAAGCATCGTTCGAATTGAATTACGCACCTCTTCTCCTCCCTCTCTTCCTCCGCATTCTCCCACTTCACATCCTCTCCCTATTTTCTTCTACCAATAGGCACTTGCATTACTACTAACAGTAGATTAAGGAACCTACACCGAGCTATCTAAGCATTGCGACCATCGCTTTGTTTAGCTGCGACGTGCTGCCCGTGAACGGTCACAAAACGTAAAAAATGCGCACCGTTAAATAATCACACGCTATAAACTCACAGCGTTACTACGTAGACTGGTTTCACGTCGATAGCGCCCAGGATTGCGTGGACTACGTTCCAGGACGATCGACAGTCTAACTAAATCACCGCACACACGGTGTCAAGCTGGGTTTACACTACCGACTTTATGTTGGCGAATTGGCGAATTGGATCAAACTTCCCAACTCCGAGTTGGTGAAAACAGAACATGTTTTAATCTCCCAACTAGTTGCTATCGATTGGTTGGTCGCGCAACGTTTGCGTTTACACTGCCGATTGTCGGTTGTATAGTTGGGAATTTGTTCCCATTCGCCAATTCGCCAACACAAAGTCGATAGTGTAAACCCAGCTTTATACGATACAACAAAAACAAATCGCGCCAGTAGAGTTAAAGCCGCGAACGCGCGTGCTCGAGCACACGCGCACCGCAATTACACGATAGCAAAAACAAGCCGAATAAGTACGAAAAACTCGCAAAACACTTTGAAAATTAAAGAATATAAAACATAAAAATAATAACGCGTTTGCTCAATGCTTAGATAGTGTACCTGCTCCTATAACAACGCCATCAATAAACCCATTTGCATAAGCCCAGCTTCCTGAGTTATCCCTTTCTTAATTGACCACTGCCACCATGGTAGAAGTCACACGAACGTCGCCATAACTCGAACTATATTACATAATACACCGTAGTTATAAATATTGCATGTGATTACGCTCCCTCTAGCGGCGGGTAAGGAAACTGCAGTTTACAGACACGCAATCTATTTCGACGCGTACCAAGAAATAAACGAGCAAGGAACCGACAAACCGACGACCGAACACAAAAGCAAGCAGACGAATGAAGTAAAACTACAAGCGAAAAGACGGGTAAACAAAACATACAAGCAAGCCGACGAGTAAACAACAACAACTAGCAAATAACGTGCACAAAACCTACAAGTAAAAATACAAGTAAACAAAGTATACAAGCAGACAAATGATTAAACGAAACTTACAACCAAACACTGAAACAGAGGAGTAAACAAAAACTGGCGATTAAACATAGTTCAACAAGTAAACAACATAGTCACAATTTCGCAATCGACAAACCTTGCAGGCAACAACGCGCATGCGCACTGGCGCTCATCGAGCTGCTCGTATTAATATTAATATAATTATTATCATTATTATACTGTTTAGTATTCCTCACAGATGCCGACGCGGGATAATTTACAGTACATTCAGTATGACAAAATAAAATGTGCGAAAAATCCAAGGTTCACGCACACAGATACCACGCGCGCACAACCGCCCGGTCGTCGGGCCTATCTACACATCCGGGTCTGTGAAACACAACCGTGACCAAATCTGCAGACGACCTAGATCTACCGCATATAGAACTGTCCATTACGCTACTAATCTCTGCCGAACACACGAAGGGATTTTCATACACATCGACAACCGTCACGGCCAGTAGTAACCACCGCGCAGCAACACGCAACAACGCGCAGCAACACGCATCAACGCGCAGCAACGCGCATCAACGCGCAGCAACACGCATCAACGCGCAGCAACACGCAGCAACGCGTAACAACACGCAGCAACGCGCATCAACACGTAACAACGCGCAGCAACACGCATCAACGCGCAGCAACACGCAGCAACGCGTAACAACACGTAACAACGCGCAGCAACACGCAGCAACGCGTAACAACACGCAGCAACGCGCATCAACGCGTAACAACGCGCAGCAACACGCAGCAACGCGTAACAACACGCAGCAACGCGTAACAACACGCAGCAACGCGCATCAACGCGTAACAACGCGCAGCAACACGCAACAACGCGCAGCA